TACGACTACGACTACGACTACGACTACGACGACTACTACTACTACTACTACTACTACTACTACTACTACTACTACTACGACTACTACTACGGGGCCACCCCCTGCGCACACCAACTGGTGTTTGGATCGTGCAGTGCCTGCAAAGCTTGGCGACGCTGGCGCGTATAAAGAGCGTGCTAAAGGACCAACCACTGCGCACCCCCTCATGTGTCGAGATACTGCTGCGAGTGCTGAAGCTTTGCGACATTCATTGGCGCGCATTGCGCCCCCCATCCCGTGCGCACCCGCTTTGGCGACTTGATAATGCAGTGGCTGCTGATATGTGCGACATTGACGTGTATAGAATCCGCGTTCAAGAACCAACCACTGCGCACCCCCTTCTGGTGTCAAGAAAATGCCGCACCTGCTAGGTCTCGCGACATTGGCGCGTATAGAGACTTCAGTCAAGGACCACACCCTGCGCACCCCCTCTGGTGTCGATAAAGTGTCCCCCTATCATTGGGTTTTGCGACAATCGCGCGTATAGAGACCGCGATCCGGGATCACCCCCTGCGCACCCCGTCTCGTGCCGGGATAATGCAGCGCCTGCTAGGCGCTGCGACATTCTGGTGTCGAGAAAGTGCCACGACAGCCAGTGCTTGCGAGATTGACGCGTATACAGACCGCGCTCAGGGACCACCACCTGCGCACACCATCTGGTGCCGAGAAAATACGACGCCTGCCGCGCATTGCGAAATTGCGCGCACGTGTTGTGTGGTGTGCGTGTCATGTGGGTAACTCGGTCTGCGTTTGTGGCCTGTATATGTGTATGATGCGTGTGCGGCTGTATGTGGCCACGTGTATCATGCCAATGCCGCGTATGTGTCCTGTTGTGTTTTGCGTGTATGCGCGCTGCGTGCAGGGCTGTATGTGGCCGCGAGCCTCATGTCAATGCCGCGCATGTGTTGTACGCATTAGTAGAAAACGCGAGTGCGACGCGGGCGGGGTACAAGGAGGATGAGGAGGAGGAGGAGGAGGAGGACGACGAGGATGAGGAGGTGAGGAGGAAAGGGTGTGAGAGAAACGCGTGTGCGACGCGGGATGGAAGAAAACCAGGAAACCACATTACGCTACCGAGGAGTTCCATATACTTATAGTATGGCTGGGGTGATGCCAGCTGAAGTGCAGCATGTGCAAATGATGTAAGTGGCCGTTGCCCCGCCGATGCCCTTGGTGACGCAAGTCAAGAGGACAGTTTCGAGGTCGACACGCACGGCGACCGCACCCGCAGCGCAGTTCCTGTGGCGTCGAGACAGCGCCACGCCTGCCACACGCTGCGAGCCCGAAACTCAAAACGACCGCACCCCCTATCGAACCCCCTGTGGCGTCCAGGAAAAGCCACGCC